GATAGCCTGTCATCGGTAGTTCTTACTGAGTGGAACTGATCATTGGATGTGCCATGACAAACTTGCTTGGGCTTGACATGGTTCCGTCCAAAGGAGTCTTGATTGTGTTCAGCTTCCAGCTTTCTCAAATAAATTTGTGTTTGCTGCTGACCATCCCCAGCTTTGCTGTAGCAAGCTGCTGTTTCAGAAGGCTTCGCTGGATATCACTGAAAGGGCCCATGTTTCCCCAACCCATTAACTGGAACCTTCCTGTTTTTGGAGGGTGGTGTACTTTTGGAACTTCTGTCATTTTCTACCGCATTGTTCAGGTTTCCAAGCTGCAATTTGTTTTCTGCTAGCAGTATTTTGCTAAGATTTACGAATGACCCACACGTCTTGATTTCTTTGTAGTCGGCTGACTAGTCAGTTCATTCGGTGTCTTCTCCTTTTGAATGGAGCTCCGGTCGGTGGGGCCTCTGCCAGGATCCCATGCCGGATCTTCGAGTCCCGCTGAGTTCCGATTTGAGCCACGTGCTCTGCTTTGATACGGGTTCTCGGTACGTAAGCAGTTCCCACTCTTGTGGACAAGACCAGACCTGGATCAGGCGCCATCGATTGTCGCCCTCTTTTGCTTTGCCAGCCTCAAAGTGGCCGGGATGTCGAACAGCCTTTTGCAAGGGCGGGGCGGGCCGATATAGGCTCGCGTGTCTTTTGAGGGGAAACCAAAAGGGAAAGCCACCATTTTTGCGGGTCCCCCTAATTATTTTGCCATACCCATATTGGGAGCAAATGCGATGAACAAACCAAGGGGGGACTTTGCCTCTGGCTGTCACTGCTCATTTGACCGACTGCCATGTGTCGAAACATTGGTCAGTGAGATTAGCACGCCGAATGAGGCAGGAAGAAAGCAGAAAGCGGCAAGCATCCAGAAGCTTTTGAAGACGACCGAGTTGTTCAGTGGCAGCCTTCAAATCCCTTTCTGTTTGGCGGGTCGGGACACTAAAAATTACAACGACTATTTGACAATCCAGGGCGGAACGTTCAGCCGGTGAACTGACTGCTGCACACCTCGGAGTCTTCTTGGCTATGGCATTTCGTATTCGGAGCTTGCCTTGTGCAGAGGCTCCCCGAAAGCAAACTCGGTAGGTTTCCGCATATTCCAACAGGATCCGTAGGTTCGCGTCGTGTTTTGCCGTCAGCAGAATAGTTCACGGAAATGTGCTAGGCGCATGTTGACGTAGGCCCTGGGCGCCCTTCGGCGCCTCTGAAGTTGTTTGCATGACCGCACTCTGCGGATGTGATTCCCTAAGGAATGGTACAGTCTAGCCTTCTTTGTTTTTGGCGTGTGAGCACCCCCCCTTCATGATCCACCACATCTAAACTGTTTGATATCTAGAGTGATCCCCAACAGTGATCCAGACCTCTGGCATGGGTGGCTGCCCAATCAGGCTGCTTTGAGTCTCGACATCGGGAAATCCAAGTGGCGCTCCCCGAGTTTCTGGACTTTCAACTTTGAGAATAATTTGAAAGGTAAGCAACACAGTTTGCGCTTTTCGGCCAATCCACTCCGGAGGTGAGAAATTCTGTTGATTTGCCCAGATAATCTGCAACATCCTGCCTTGTGGTGATGCGTGTAGGAAATTCCTAGGTCTCGGACATTCATTGGCAGTAATCCGCTTTGAAAGTTGCGGCTTACACTAAGTCCATGAACCATGCTCCTTGTCCTGGCGGGAATTTGTCCGGGCCGGATATGGGAGACTTATGAGCCCAACCTGACGTGTACAGCTGGAAGTCAAGGTATGCAACGTAAGGCAATACCAGACATCCAGATTGATTCTCTCCTTTACGTTTTGTTGCTCCCTTCGCAAGCTTACCTTCCAGATTCAAGAAAGCAGAATGAAGTGATTGCGTGGGAGCACCCTATTTCACGCTGGTGCTTGCTGCACTACGTCCCGTGCGGGGCGTTCTGAGGAAATCTGTGGATGGTGTACAGTCCTCCGTTCGCACTGGACCCATTACATCGAATTGCAAACCGAGCGGCCCGATCTTTGTGAATCTCCAATACCAGGTGCTTGCGCTCGACAATTTAGATTCCGGCGAAGAGTTGTCGTGTTGCGCCCTCGCGCTACACCGTTCCCAGATAAACTCCGTTCAGCTCGTCATGTCCCAAGGGTGCGTTGGGGTGCCACCTTTCCTGGGGAGTCGGGGCGTTCTTTGGTTTTCTCCCGAACATAGAATGTGAAGATTGCTTGCTTGCTTGAGTCTGCTTCCAAAGTAGTTTATATATTTTGGGATAGACTAGGAACAAAACACTGTCAGAACATATTATGTTTGTGTACCCCGCATGTGGGCCAAGGTTGGGGATGCTCTCTCTCGGACTACACATGTCCTTTGCTAATTCTTTGGCTGCCCTGAGTGCAGAGGCTAGCTACAACTACCAGCCAGCATAAACGACTTCTCGCTTGCAATGTTCCTGTGCCCAAAGCACAAACCCCGCACGAACTAGAGGTAAAGTCACCACACTAAATGCCACTAAAGCACTAAATACCAAACCACCAACCATGGAAGCACCAACCACCGAACCCAGCCCAGTGCAAACAAGTTATAAGTTAAAGAAGAAGGGTAACAAAAGAAACGCCCCAAGCAGTTAAGATGTCAAGCAAAGATCGCTTGGGCAATGGACAATATTTCCAATGTATTGGTTTTGGGTGGTCCATTTCCTGTCGGTTTTGCGGGCTGATAGATACTGATAGATAGCGGTGGTTTGGTGGTGTCGTATTGGTTTATTGAGATTGTATTGGCTTGTCGAGTATTAATATTTGCTATGGTTTGTCTCAAAGTTTGACCCACCATTAAAATGGCAAGGGTTTCTTTTTGGCATCCCTAAACCGACCCCGAAAAGCCAAATTGCAGCCCTGGTAAGGCAGGAGCCATTTTTCAGGTGGATTTCATTTGTCAGGAGTCCAAAACGACCAGCATTTCTGCTTGGGGTTTCAAACATTAACTTGGGCCATTTTATGTCAGTTTCCTTGGGCCTTGGGGATGTTTAAGCAGGAAGTTTAGGGAGCTCTGTCAGCTTCCTGGTTTCATGCCAACAAAAACCACACTTCTCTGCGCGCAGGCGGAGAAAGCTCTCCGGCCGCAGGTGTCGCAGGTGCTTTTTGAGTGCTGGACGGTTTCTCGGGCAGGAGCTCTTTGTCTCACTTCCCCATTTGTGGATTTTTGGGCTTTGCTTTTTGGGTTTGAGGAATTGAGTATTAGACATAACGTTTTTTTCTTATGGAAAGGAATTTGAGCATGTATGAGTCAAAGGTTCCCGTTAGACTCACCGGGCAACTGAGCCAAACTGTGTCCCGGTCAGCTTGATTGAAACTAGATGTGATCTGGTTTCAGCTAGTCTGTTTTTCATGATGACCCATTCCCTTGGATTGGTATGGGCGGTGTATTTTCCTTTGTACCCGAAAGAAGGCGCGCGCGTAGATTCCAAGTTGAGTTTCAGGTACCAGTTGCCTCTAGAAGGGACAGGAAGTTCGCCGCAGTTTCCGCAAAGGGCACCGGGGCTCAGCTGGTCGTTGGTGGCCCTCCTGCAATTTCTTCTGAACGAAGTGAGGGCTGGTATCACAGATTTCCAACTACGGGTGCGACAAGCAGGCCTTTGCTTCGGTGCCCAGTGTTTTGGGGGCCTTTGGATATGCAGCAACACCAACGACCACAAGTTTAACCATGCAACCGTAGTCTTTGCACGGTTTTCGCGAGGACTCACAACAAGCCCCCCTCAAAGTGACGTTCAATTGACATCCCTCTAGGGGTACCTTCCCCATTCCAGGGATCCTTCTTTCTAACCTCCGGAAACCCAGGGAGAACGGATCCGGTTTTTGGAAAGAACGATGGCTAAAAAGAATGGAATTGGAATTTCAACCCCTAGCATCCCGCGAGGCGCCTCGCTCCGGCTTTCCGGTGGCATCCTGGGACTGCATCGGCGCGCTGCCGGTGTGCGGCCTCGAGCTCGAGGCGTCGCTGTGCGGTTTTGGGCCGCTCGAACAACTCGAGGCGGTGAGCCTCAGGGCGTTCTGTGGGTTTGTCTCTTAAGGTTGGTTTGTAGGTTGAAGCCAAAAGAGCAAACATATGTTTGTGTTTTTGTTTGGGGGGGTTGAGAAACTCTAGCTTGACACAACCCCTTTTTTGGGGGGTCTATTTCCTGCTTCAGGTGGGTGATGTGTTCTGTTATGTTCTTTTCATGATCCGCAGGGATCCCTATGCTTCTCCTTTGAGAGGGTTTCAACATCACCCAACAAATTTACATCGGGGGGGGGGGTCTTTTTGGTGGGTCCACCCAACAGCCCAGGTAGGTTTTCCTTTAAGGGAAGTGGCTTGAGGGGTAGTGGAAGCCATCCTTGAAACAAGCAGGATTGCCTCATTCGTTCATCAGCAAAGTATTATGGCCCCATGGCAAGGAGCGTCACCTGGCTGTTTTCTCCGAACTATCCAGCAGTATCATCATTAATTCCCATACATTCGATGAGCAACAGCGCAGGACTTGGCTTGTCCACTAACCAGATCGCAATGTTGAGGCTCGGACATGTTCCTTTTCATGCGGGTTCAAAGGGAAACCAAAACGAACCTGAACCCCATTTCGGGTCCCGGTCCAAATCCTTTTTTTCGACACGGTTTGGAAGGTGTGCCTTGCCACCTAAGCCGCTAATCCACATGTTGCGGGGGAAGACGGGAAAACTGAAAACAGAGGCAGATCTCAATGTCACTTGCGAGAGACAAAGCAAATCGACCTTTTACTCTTTGTGTTTTCCCATGTTTGGTGTGTTTTTACTAGAGCTTGGTAGCTTGGCAAGCAGGACGACCAAAAGGACAGCCACCATTCGGGGGTCCCCCATATTTGGACACATACCCATTTTTGTTCGTCAAAGTCCCAAACGGTGATACGTTCAGGCAGGCGACTAAGCCATACAGGGACCAGATCCCCCTTTACGGCCCATGCTTGACGGTGGTTAGCGACCAGTTGCTTCATGCAAGCGCCAAACACTGATTCCCAGTGGCCATGCTAGGTTGTGCTACCTGGTTTTAGTCTTAAGGGGTTTGAGCAGGTTTCCTCGGGAGTATAAGGCCCATATAAACTTGCGCAACTCAATGAGACGTGTATCAGACCACAGGGTCAGCATTTGCTTCAACCTTCTTAGAACAGGTCGACCGGACGGCGCTCGTCAGGTCCGGAAGGCCAAATCGGAGAAGTCCTTGGTGCCAGGCCACGCCTTTGCGACGCAAGTCTGTCCACTCACTTTTCTCTTTAATGTTACCCCCAAGCCGCCGCCCCCCCCCCCCCACAACAGTGGAACCAGGCAGGTCCAATATGAAAGGCTGCAAACAAGGGGTAGCCCTAGATGGACTTGCTACTTGTTGCAACCGTTCCTCTTTCTGGCACGCCTGCGCCGCTTGGCAAGGAGATGCACGGTCAGTTACCCGTGGATGGGGTTGGGGAACCCAATTAACACCCCCCCCCCCCCCACCCCCATTTCTCAATTGAGGGGTAGGGATGTCCGCCATTGACGGCACTGCATATCCCCAATTTCTCACCAAGACACACCCTTGCTTTTGCACCTTCCACGCTCGACATCCCTGAATCTTCTAAATGTGTTCCGTAGTCACAGCTTCCAGTCGAAAGCCACGGCAAAAATATGGAAGGACAGGTTTTCGCCCATCGCCCGGGCCAGGATGGATCATGGAGAGGACGCGCAGTGGCAGTGAGGGCACTTTTTGCAGAATGAATGCCATATGTGCCGCCTTGCGCTGGGTAGGGATGGTCAATCAACCCTTTAGTAGGGATTTTAGACAACCAAGTTTCTATCCAGGCATCCATGCCCATGACCAACATACGTAGCTTCGACTATGGCACACATGTTCTTGATCAATATGTACTGTATAGTGTTCAACAATAACTCCTTGGCGAGCGTTGCTGGCAACCGCCACTGTCCATGGCTGGACACGGACGTGTTCTCGGCAACTGCTTGAGTTGACCGTACCTGGACCCGAAACTACTTTCTGGGATACTGCCACAAGAATTCCTCACTGATTTCCCTGTTTTAAGGGTAGTTTGATGGTGCAGGTATGTGTTTTCTCTAAACAGGGGGCCGTCCAAAATGCGCGGTGTCCCCCAGTAGTGCCCTTTTACCAACTTTTTTGGGGGAGGGTTTCCCTACGAAAATAGACAAACAAAAACAACGGCTACCAACTTATTCTAACCTCTCAAATCTGGAGGGCCTAGCCTTTCATCCGCGCTTGAAATGAACGTGCCACTCTCCTGAAGGAGCAGCCTGCACGCGGAGGTGCAATCTCTGAAGGAGCAGCTCTTCGAGGAGCGGCGGCTTTCAAACGACAGCCGCAGCCTCGGCTCGGAGAAACGCACTTCTAGAAACATGTTTTCTGCCAGGGGTCTTATTCGCACATGGAGGTGGAGGGCTATATAAATATCAATACGATTGGCCCCTCTTAAACGGAGATACCAAACATGGCCATTCTTGCTTTGGCACCGCCTCCAAGTATGAACATGTGTCAAACCACATATATACATATTATATACATATATGCATACATGATTGTTTTTGGGACCCGCCACCCGCCACCCCAAACATACATATATATATATATATATAGTGCTTGTCAATTTGGGTTTCCCTTCCAAACCTCGAAAACACATTGTGACTAACTGAAGGAAACCATGAAGCTCGCGGTGATATAAAGATAGCCGTACCCGTTGGTTGCCATTCTGTTTTCACTTTCCTTGTTTGATAGAAACGTGCAAGACACCCTGTGCTCTACTAGTAGGTTACAAACATGGACATAAGATGACATAAGTGGGCAGATTGGACCTAGTCATAAGCCTACCAGATGGCTTGCGGATCCATTCCGCGCTAAGCAAGATCAAAGTTTTGCCATGTATCACCGATGGACACTGAGAGACTATTCGGCAGCACCGAATCCTAAAGGCCCAATCACCCTCAAAACCAACGACTTTAGATTGGAGGGCCATTTATTTTAGGTTTTGTTTTTGTTTTTTTAGAATTATTTTTGTTTTTCAGGGTGGGTGGCTTTTCGGCTTTTTGGCTTTTGTGGCTTTTACGTGGGTTTTTGTGGTTTTTGTGGCTTTTCATTTCGCATCCTCTGCATTCACAGTTCCTCTCTTTCGCATCCTCTGCATTGCCAGTTCCGCTGGCTTTTTGGCTTTGGCTTTTGGCGGCTTTCTGGCTTTGGCTTTTCGCATCCTCTGCTTTCCCAGTTGGTTTTTGGCCTTGGCTTCCTGCATCCTCAGCATCACAAGTTCCTCTCTGTGCCCCCCGGCCACCCCCCTTTCGATTAAAATACACGCCTAATTGAATCATCACTTTTTCGATCATTATGCGACAGCTGCTTTTTAGATTCTTTGGCTGCCGTTTTACGGATTAGTTTGCCCGTATTTGAATCCGCACTTTTACCATGAGGCCTTGGCGCAGAGGCACTGAAGCCCCCCCCGCTGCTTTTTTATTTTTTTTTGGCCTATTGAATCATCACTTTTTTCAATCATCATCCCCCCCGACTTTTTTTGCCCCTGATTGAATCATCACTTTTTCGATCATCATGGGGGGGGCTGCCGCCCCCCCCCCCAACCCCCCCGCGCCTTTAATTGAATCATCACTTTTTCAATCATCATGGGGGGAATTGCCGCCCCCCCCCCCCGCTACGTTTTAGGTGTTTTACAGGGATTAGTTTGCCCGTGATTGAATCCTCACTTGTACCATGAGGCCTTGCCGCAGAGGAACTGATGACCCCCCCGCTGCTTTTTTATTTTTTGCCCTAATTGAATCATCACTTTTTCAATCATCGTGGGGGGGGCTGCCGCCCCCCCCAACCCCCCCGCTATTTTTTGGACTTTTTGCCCCTATTTGAATCATCACTTTTTCGATCATCATGCGACCGCTACTTTTTAGATTCTTTGCCCCTAATTGTTCGATCATCATGGGGGGGCTGCCGCCCCCCCCAACCCCCCCGCTATTTTTTAGACTTTTTGCCCCTGATTGAATCATCACTTTTTCGATCATCATGGGGGGGCTGCCGCCCGCCCCAACCCCCCGCGCCTTTAATTGAATCATCACTTTTTCAATCATCATGGGTGGGGCTGCCGCCCCCCCCCCCAACCGCCCGCTATTTTTGGACTTTTTGCACCTAATTAGAATCATCACTTTTTCGATCATCATGCGACCGCTACTTTTCAGATTCTTTGCCCCTATTTGTTCGATCATCATGGGGGGGCTGCCGCGCCCTGAAGGGGGGCTGCTGCCGCCCCCCCCAACCCGCCCAACCTCCCCCCCCCCGCGCCTTTAATTGAATCCTCACTTTTACCATGAGATGCGGGAAGCCAATTTGCTGGTGATGCTGGGGATGTTGGCTGGACATGCGGGGGATGTTGAAAACGATGCTGATGATGTTGACGGACGCGTATAATACGTACATTT